TAGATTATTCACACATCCTTAAGGACCGACTTTATCACCTTTGACATATTTACAAAACATTTTTTTAGCATTAATTATTTCATAAAACCTCTTTTAATATTGTACTCTTTTTTCAATTAATTCTGTCTCGTTTGATTTGATCCTCTAAACGGTTTCGGGCTCTGGAGGATGCACTAAAATAGGAGTTCAAGTTGTATCTCTGATCTTTATCCTCCCACCTGCCAGTCGGGCTGCTGGAACTGATTCCCCGTCGTCTCGTTTCCGTCCTCCTGCCAGTCGGTGGTCACGGAAAAAGGCCATGAAGTGGCCTCCATGTCTCTGTCGGCGTGTTGGATTCCCTCAGCATCCATATTCTACTCCCTGTCACCTGGTAATAGAAACTTTACGCATAACGGTATGACACACAATGAGAGTTACAGGTAAAATGACCTTCATCTTCTTCTTCGCATGTATAGAAATGTCAGATTTTACTTGAATTCGAAAAATATCATGTTAATATATTCTGTAGCACATATTTTCACTTTTGGTTTTTAGATATGATGAATTATGTTACACTTTTTAACCCTGAAGTATCAATGCATTTTCGATATGAGTTAGTCACATCAAGTGTTAAATTACAGTAAGAGAATGTGGCTTGCTTGCTTAGTTAATAATCATACATCATATCACTATTATGGCAAGTTCCAGTCCACTGATAGCCTATCTTACAGTAGCACATGTAAGTTAAAAAGCGTTTTCTTGTTTAATAAATCAGGCTTCACTTTGTCACAGCCCACATTTGATTGAAAATAGGTTTTAATATTTATTATTAGTAAACATATAATTATCTGCCATGAAGCACTAGCTTTTGGCAGACACCTTCACTATTTTGTTTGCCACAGTATGCGCAACAGCCTGCAGCACAAGTGATGAATTCACAGATCGGACGGCACAGTGAAATATGTTATATACACAAATGAGATAGCCTCAATCAGATGTTTACTTTTATCGCTCTTACCTTTCTTATAAACGCGGTTTATGCCTCGTTGTTAGTCTTTTTTACATCAGTATCCATAGTTTTTAATGTCCAGGAATTAGATTCCTTCTGCGTAATGGACAACCAGGTCCATCAGGTAATCCATCTCAAGACATCTCTATACTCTCAACTCTCTCTCTCACACACACATATACACTTTCGCTCTCCCTCCTGGCGTGTGCAACAGCTGATTACGGTACAAGCTGCTGAGAGTGACTGCAGACGCACTGACCAGCAGGCACGCGACTTTGCGCGTGAAGCAGCGCCAACTGCATCTAGAGAGAGAGAGAGAGAGAGAGAGAGAGAGAGAGAGAGAGAGAGAGAGAGAGAGAGATAACCTATTGAAATTAGGTAATTAATTAAGCATACTTGGAGACGTGCGTTGATTGTGCACGATTCAATCTAAAACAAGAGGAGTTAAATAATAACTAAAACAGCAGAAGGCTGGCAGCTTGGTTGTAAACGACAGAGCCACATGAAGCCTGGTTTAAAAATAAATAAAAGGAAAGGAAAGAGAGAGGTATATTTCATCCCCAGTCCCCTGCTGTTTTCTGCAGCCATCCATTTCCATCTCCCCTGAAATGCTAAAGCACTTGTCTATACTAATAGTAATAATTTGTCTATTCTCCTCTTTTTTTGATGCAGCATAGAGTGAGAAAGACATACAGAGTGGGGTAGAAATGTAACATACTCAGTGTTTATTTCCTGTTCCTCAGAGAGAAAGGGAACTCTCTAAAAGCCTTGTTATGACATTTTCATTATGAGTTTGTGGAAATAAATGCTTTTCTCATATTACAGGCTAACCTCAAATCTCCAGTGTCTCTGTATAAATCTTAATAAATGGAGTTAACAGAATGTTTCATGAATACTAAAAGTCTGATGGATTTGAACATCTAATAGACCTCAGCTCTAAGAATGTTATAGGCCTATCGCACCCTGTAGTATACATTGCACTAGATCTGTGAATTTTGCATACAGTACACACAAAATATACTTAATTTGAAACAATATCTGCAAAATGTGTGGAAACTGTATATATTCCTTCTTTTATTATTCTATTTCCTACCTTGTCTTATTCTGTTCTAATTAAAAATAGTTGCATATATTTTTGAATATTTTCTATGTGTGTGCGGAGGTGGTTACAACTGCATTTCATGTTGCTGTATTATACATTGAGATTGAAGCTGATCCTTGAACATTGCTCTCTTAGGAGCCATTCAAAAAGGATCCTTTCTATGTGTGAATTTGTTAAATTCACACCTCTGGTGTACCATAGGGTCTGTGACCCACAGTCATCATCATCATCATCATCATCATCATCATCATCATCATCATCATCATCATCATCATCATCATCATCATCATCATCATCATCATCATCATTAGTTTTTACTTGGTATCGAGTTAGATTGCCCTCCTAAGAGGCACATATTATGGGTTTTGACATGGTCAAAGAGGTCAAACATTATTGCAGTTTGGATATGTGTTCTTTGCTGCAGCTACGACAAAATCTGTTTTCAAAGTTCTTGTGATCGGCGCTCTTAGTGCAAAAGCAAATAAAAATCGTTTTGATATATGAAATAACTGTGCTCCCCCAGGTTAAATCTATTTGAGATTAAAAAAGGGTTACAGAGATGAAAACTGGGTTGATAACCAATGATGAAGTAATCGCAAAGAACAGTCCTCTGATTGCAGTTATTGACAGTCATTTTAAAAAATAGCTTGTTTTTACTCTGTGGCGTCAGAAACATGACCAAACACTCAAGACAAATTCACTGATTTGATAATATGAAAAATAAATAAAGTACCTCAATTTGAGTGCACGTAAAAAGAAGTACACACAGTTGTGCAAGGTCTAAGTCTTGGTACTCCTGAAGCACATGAACTGCAGCCATGCATGTGTGTTTACTAAGAGATAAACAGTATGCATATTTACGTTTTAACTCAGCCACTTATCACCATAAGGTGCCACTAAGGACACTCATGTATAAACTTGCTGTACTTTAACAATGTCTTAATTTCTGCAGTTACATACTTTTTATGTCTCCACACAACAAGTATACTGTGATAACATGTTTGTGCTTTCAATGTATCGCTGTCTTACTGGCATACTTTCTCTTTTGCTTTCTATTGCTTTAATTCTCAGCGACATTAACTACTCCCATGTTGACTTTTATTCTTCACACATCATTCTCTTTTTTTGCCTTTCCTCCCTTGCTCTTAAGGGAAATCTCCTCTATGTGTTTGCACAGAAAATAACAGATAGAGGTAGCACTGCTGACTTCAGCTAAGCTCGTTCTGTCTTCCCTCTGTTGAGTGTGTACACTACGCACTGCATGTGTGTACTTTCACATGCTCACAGACCTTTATTGGCCAGCAGGACCTGGTGAAGGGCGTGTTGAAGGGTACAGGCAAGGGAATGAAACGTTTCTAACAAGCTGGTGTAAGTGTGTATGTGTTGTGTCAGGTCTCTCAAAGGTCACCTATTGTGCAAAATCAAAATGTTCATGTGTTTTACTCACAAAATGTGCCCCCTCAAGTTTCAGGAAAAAAGATTCTCTCTCTTTTTGTCCTGATCCAGCTATACAAAAACGAAAATGATCCAATTTGTGATGTCACAATCTTTTTCTGGGTTGTGTAACCATTAGCCAATAACCAACCAAGGTAACACCCGCCCACCTTATCACCTGAATAGCAGAATTCTGTGTCTGAAGTCCCAAAACACCTCACTGAGGCAACAAAAACAACAATCACTATGACGCTTTTTTTTTTTTTTACCTTTTACGCACCTTGGAAGGAGGAGAGGTTGTGCTCACACGCAGTTTCTAGAATAAGTACAGAAGTAAAAATTAACAACAGGTCTGGTAAAAAAGCTTTCTTTTTTCTTTTACTATGCTTTGCACTGTTGTCAGATATTGCTATTTTGCTTGTGAAAGCAAACAAGACAAAGGTGGTGGTGATAATTAAGGATTAACCAATCCAAACGGGGGAAAGTAGTGATTTATTTGAGTGAGAAGCCACTCAGACAGCTCCCTCTTATCGACTCAACACACGTTAACAGCTGCTGATAAGGTTCGAACAGAGGAAACAGAGTCGGACAAACTGCAAACAATAAGGGCGATGCTGGCGTGATGTTCTGGTGTATGAAGGCTCAACATGTTCTGTTGTGGTCCACAGCTGTATATTATTAAATGGTTCAAACTTACAGTAGTCTTATTTAAAATATTCTTAAAACCAACATTTTCAAGGTGATGTGTAGACGACAATGTCTGCATGTTTTTAAGGTTTTGGGTTGGTTTATTTAGCAGTCAAAGAAGATCAACTCTATATTGATGATGTGTACATTTTGGTCCTTGTATGAGTCTTAAACAAAGGCAGAGCAGTCAAAAAACAGCAGTATTTGGTAGTACTAATGTTAAAGTTAAAGTAAGTAAGTAAGTCCTCTGAAGGATTCACAGATTGTCAATTATTTGTGTTTTATCTGTTGTGTTTCACCACTAGGGGTCAAAGTTAGATTTTTTGAGATCCATATTGTGCTGCATGTGTGCTAATTAGCTGTTATGTGAGACTGATAGAGCTTAATTAAACAGCCTTTTGTGTTGTGTATATACTTGTATTTTTCATTAACTGTTAAATGATTGTCTTTTTTAAATTGTTGTCATTCACTTTGTAATTTGTATAAAAGTGTCTAACAAATTACATGTAATGTAATACTCATTGGCATCCCAATTCAGTTGGAAGGCAAATACATCTTCATATCATTAAATAATATAAAAATATATAGCTTTATATATATAGCTATGTTCGTTAAAAAAAACATATTTCTGATCCTAATATCAATGAGATTTTGTTTTTTAAAAGGAAAAGAGGAGGAAGTGTAATGAGCCCATTATTCCTGCACACGCCCCTGCTTCAGGCTTCAGATCAATGTTGTGGTGTCGTTCTGCTGTCAAAAACCAATGTAGGCTATTTCAAGCTATTAGTCATCGACAAAATATTTCCATGTGCATCACAACATAATAATACAACTGTCCATTCGCTGCCATTTTCCGCTTTGTTTATTTCATCTCATAAATCTCCTTTCAATCTGTCCATCAATCACTCCAACACGCGCTCCCAGGTGTGGTGACGAGCACAACGCGGAAGTGAGTGTCAACAGCAGACAGCCTGGAGTCAACTGTCCACAGACACGATGTCCAACAACCAAGAGATACGATACTGTCACCGATTCTCCTACATTTTGCTCAAGTTCACCTTGTTTGCGTATGGCATCGTCTGGTGGGTGAGTAACGTCATGTTTATTGTTTGTTAAAGAGGAGCGCGCGCTGTGTTTGCGCAGATATCCCGGCTCGAGGATCAGACAGACTGGGTGTGTGTGTTTCAGTTATGATTCAGCTGTGTGCTGTTCAAACATGATGTTTAAGTGAATAAATTATGAGATAGAGGATTGTATCGCCTTTTTAATGGCTGCGTTGTGTTTTTTGATGTACAGTTTTGAAACGACAGGTGTTGTACCTGTGGGGACATTTTATTCTGAAGGATCGCTCACATTGATAACCGTCTGCCTGTGGTAATGTGGCGACACCCTCCACCTTTACCCTGCTCTTACCTGAGTAGGTACAGGGTAAACACAACCAGAGGTGAAGTACTCTGATCTTGTACTTAAAGGTCCCATGTCATGCTTTTCTGGTTATTACCTGTCCCCTTGTGTGTTGTGTAGCTTTTTCTGCATGTAAACGGTCTGCAGAGTCACAAACCCTCAAAGTAGCCTACACCCTGTAGCGAGTAAAACTCTAACACAGAAAAAACCTGTCTATGCTGCCCCAAAACGCCTCGTTGGAGATTTCTCTTTTTCAATTGTTTTCTTCCTGAGTATATAATCTGTTTGTCATTTTCTGGTTGCTAACGCCATTGTAACACATAAACACTGATGTTCAGCTGTAACGGCTGTGGACTAATCAGAACAGAGTAGGCGAGCTGACCAATCAGAGCACAGTGGACTCATAGGGGGGGGTGCAGGAGCTCCAACAAGCCGTTTAGGACAGAGAGTGAATACACATACTATACAGAGATGCTGTATGAGAAACCAATGTGATTTTGGAACATTGAACAATGTAAATCTATTCTAGTAGACCTCAACAATGGAAATATGATCAGTAGAAATGGCCATGTCATGGGACCTTTTTAAGTAGAAGCACCAGAGTGTAGGAATACTCCGTTACAAGTCAAAGTACTGCAATCAAAATGTTACTAAAGAACAAAAGTATAAGCATCTGAATATACCTAAAGTACTCATTATGCAGATTGGTACATTTCAGAATAATATATATATGATATATTTTGATTATAATTATTGATGTATCAATGTGTTTATCAAAGCTGGTACAGGTTCAGGTTGTTTTAATTACTTTGTATTCAGCTGGGAAGCTTGTGAATTTACTTCAGGTGTAATTAAAGTCTAATTTAGGTGTTTATATTTCACATCATTTTTCAAGATCTGCAAAGTAACTAAGGGTATTACATAAATGTAGTGGAGTAAAAGTACACATTTTACCTCTGAATTGTAGTGAAGTAGAAGTAAAAAGTAGCAAACAATAGAAAAAGAAGTAAGGTACAAGTACCTCAAACTTGTACTAAAGTCCATTACTTGAGCAGATAAAGACAAAATGAAAGAGGAACAGTATATTCATTTTTATTTTTATTTATGGGAGATTCCAGAAGCTGCTGTGGCCGGACATAAGTCATGTGTGGGCCGTCAGATGACACATCAGCAACAAAGTTTTCAGTACATAAGGAAGTTAAATAACAGAGGGATTTTGCTCCAAATAACAGAGTTGGTCCAGTAATTGTATTTGTTCAACATAATCTGCATGTTAGCATTGCTAGAGTAAATTCAGGGAGGTTTTCATATATTTCTTCTGCACCTTCTTGAACTTCTTGTAACTAATAGTAGGCCTATCAACTCTTCAGACTTGAATAGTGTGGCTTTTTGTGATTAAACTAAACTGTGGTTACAGTCGCAGGGTGTGTGTGAGTTAAGATCAGGCTTATTTGTGTTTCACAAGTAACTTCTAATCTTATAAGAAAATGAATACATATGTTAAAAATGTAACATGAAACAACTGCTGTCTGTAAGGGACCCATCAAATGATTTTGGGCTTAACGTAGCCTTTTAATCTTTGACTATTAGTCTGCTGCTCAAGTGAATTGAAAAAAAACGATGACATAGAGTAGCCAACAGTAAAGGTGAGATTAGTTGTGCTTAAATGAAAGTTGAAAGACTTAAAGAATGGCTTTATCTTTATTTGCATATGATTAAGTGTCCAACAAACTCCTATCTCCATATTTGATTCTTGCCTTTTGGCATTGTGTCACAATGTCTTTTTTTAAATACTTTGATAAAAAACGTTTATTTCTCAACTTTTGTTGAGGCAATTTCAGTATTTTAAGTAAAAAGACAAAAATCAAAGCTGTTCTTTCTGTAAGTTTAATTTAAACCTCCGAGGGTCAACTCGCAAGCTCAGTAAAAATAGTGAACTTTTTTAAACACAATGATCCTCCATCTAGACCAGGGATGGGCAACTTTGATGGTGGTGGGGGCCACATCATTGATGTACTGGCCACCAGGGGGCCGCAGATTCACTTGGAACACACACACACAAAAATTCCATGTGTTGTATGTAATTATTAACAAATATACTAAGTCTGACATCTTCATTGACATTTTACAATCAAAGGGAACATCCCCAAAAAATGGGAACATCCTCTAATAAGCTCACTAAACAAATATCAGTTCACAGAAATGCTATTTCATTTTTGCAAGTGGCATGTTTGTAAAGAACAGGTTATTAAACAGTGGAATAAAACTATTTTAAACTATTGGAAAGCACGGANATGTACTTGTCCGATATTGTAAATAACACTTCCCGGACGATCGGGCGTGTGCTTTTTCGCACACTGTCAGGGATTTATGATATGTATTATTTCAGCCAATGCCAATAATTGGCAGCTTCTCATTCTTGATACAAATGTTTTTTTTTAAAGGAAAAAAAAAGGATAATTTGAAATTCCATAACCATAAAGTCATTATTATGCACACTGACATTAATATTGCGAACTGCAAATATTGCCAATATGTTAATATTTTATTTGCTATAATATCATTATTGTTCAAATGATGACGTATTTACCCAGAAATAAGCTGCGCATGGGTTCCCTCGACAAAAAAGCAATGGGATTTATCCATAGGATTTTGGAAAATAGCTCGAAATAAGGTCTGTGGAAAACGAACCTGTTTGATGAATGCACGTTTTGTTCAGCCGGATAATATCCACATGTCTACCCTACTTTTATCCTTTTCGAATCATAAATCGAATCGCCAGAAGCTAAATGCTAACGTTATACTATAAACGAACTATAGCAGGGTCGCTGCTTCAACGTCACGCCAAGTTAAGATCGATATTCAAAATTACAGATTCAAAATTGTACAAGTTGAAGCGTTTGTTTTTTACAGTTTGCAAGAGCGCAGGTACTTGCTTTCAAGCAGAACAGGACAAACAAACTTAGTGGGAGTGTTTACGTATTCGGTGTAATGACGTACAACGTCCTCGACAACTTCTGTAGTTCTATTCAGCCACTTGTTAACAACCATCATTTTTCAGACACGTAANTGTGTGCCTTGGCAGTCTCAGAATGACGTACAACGTCCTCGACAACTTCTGTAGTTCTATTCAGCCACTTGTTAACAACCATCATTTTTCAGACACGTAAACTCTTCAAAAATCACCAGTGGGGTCACTGGTGATTTATTTAATGTCGTAGAACAAAACGTGATCCGTCTCTTCAATGTGTGTCAACCACAGACCTTATTTCGAGCTATTTTCCAAAATCCTATGGATTTCCCATTGACTCTGAGACGAGGGAACCGGTAGTGGTAAAATGCTAATTCACTTCCGGGTTTTAGGACTCGTCACTGGACCACTCTATAGAAATATCCCACGTTTGACCCCGATGTATATTGTAGGAAACTGCTGTTTTTGCATTATGAAGCTATTGTTACTGTGGTCTGAGCTTCTTGTTCCTCAGGCTTGATTTAGCTTCAGTCTGCTGTATGAGGTCTGCTTTTATTAACCTGTATTTACAAAGTGAGTGTTGATTGAGCTAATTTATTTAACGGTGCTCATACTGATTCACACTAAACCTCATGCACACACAGGACTTCAGTTCAACTCAATATTTGCCTTTTTTCCACACACACAGCAGTTCTATGTGTGCTGTTATTTGGAACTTTGTGCTTTAGTGAGTGAACAACAACTATTGTCATGTGAGGGAATCATTAGAGTCTGACTCTACAATCCAACAACCTTTCTTGATTTTAAATGTCAATCAGGTAAACATGTCCCCGTTTGCTTGATGACGATCGCAAAAGTTGAATTATCTTCAAAATGTCACGTACGCAACAAGTATTATTATTATTTTAGTGTCATTTGATGTTTGATAAACAAGTGTATCATTTAGATGATTACACTTTAAATCAGAGAGAAATGCCTTCATGAAACTAATTAAAGAAAGCTGTCATTTACAATGCTGAATGATTTTTCTCTGTCAACTCCAGAGTCTGGTGAAAATACAGACTTTAACTAGAAATGCAGTCGGTTGGGAAACACTTTCAGCAAAGGTTGTTTCCGTAAGAGACAAAAAAGCGGGCATTCGCTCTGTTATAGGGATCCACTCCAAAATGCCGTGGCTTGTCCCTTGGTTCACGTATACCAAGTTTCAAAACCATCTGGAAAGTAGTTTTACTGTAATCTCGTGCCAAATTATAAAAAGTAATAAATGGACTGCTTTTATTGCTTTTCCAATCTTTGAACCCAATAAAAGTGCTTTTATATCAAAAGTCAACATTCTCACTCTGGTGGCAAATGTTGTCTTACAGAGTGTGCTAATCAGGAGTGATACACTATAGGCACTTTCACACCATACTGTAGTATTTTTCCAGGAATAGTTCCGATAGTTCCTGGGATTTTGTTTTCACACGAAAAACAGAACTTTTTTTTGAAAACCTTTTCACCCCTTTTTAGTCCCTGCTAGAGAGCAGGTTTCCTGGGGAGAAAAAGGTTCCAATTTCTGATTGGCTGGGTGGATTGCAAACCACGCCCCGTAAAACTCTGACAACTTTTTTTGAATCCGCCATTTTATTTGCTTGCTTTAGCATTATTAGCTTTAGCATTAGCCCAGCGCACCAATGGAGAGAGATTAATTTATGGCAACACAAAAGAAAACATGGGAGCGCTGGAGTGATGAGGAGGTGTCGGCAGCAGCCTCTACTGAAGCCAGTCCCCAACTCCGGGGACTTCCGGCCGGGGACTTCGGGTGGCAGTATACGCCGTGAAGTTGTTTGCGGCCTGCCAGTAAACCCAAAGCAGAAGCAGAAGAAGAAGAAGTGAAGTCAGCGGCTCCCTCAGGGACTTATTCCAGTGTGAACGCGATCTTCCAGGAAATAAAGATTTCCGGGGAACTAAGTTCCGGGAACTATTCCTGGGAAAAGTACTTGTTGTGAAAGTGCCTATTCACACACACTCACACACCATGGGCTCTGCCATAGGGAGCCCATAGATGCTTAAACATGTTGACTTCAGGGGATGACCACTCCTCAACCACAGCCTAAAAACAAACACACAAACTGTACTGAAAAATATGACCGCGTCATTTGGTAATTGGGCTCTCATTAGTCTGTATCGTGTCACTTGCAGAGCTTTCATTCTCCGGAGGACAATGCTCAGAGATATCAGTTTAAGTAGTTCAATTTGGTCCACTGATGATCTGGTTGGCTGTCTGTTTGACTCTCATCCTTAGTATTGCTATGTGTCTTGAATCTAACTTTATTCTTCTTTTAATTAGTTGCATGAAATTGTTAAGCAACAGTGATCAGAATTGAGAAATGTATTATGGCAGTAGAAAACAAAATAAACCTTTTCTAAAAAACTAATTGAGAATTTAACCATGTAGCGGGATCATTTTTATTTATTTATTAAAGAAACTATGAATCCTATATTTTCCGTCCTCTTTAATTAGTTGATAATTCTTAATCAGTATTATACGAATTATCCTGGTTTACCACCAATTCCCAATTGACAAAATGACAGACTTGCGGAGAGTTCATGAATGAGTCAATTTTTTTTCCAGCAGCTTGATGCCTGTTTGCTTTCAGAGCTTCAGCTCTGTGCTGTTTGCTCCCACATCAGTTAGTCAGGCAAACTAGCACTGAGACATGTTTTAGCAGAGTGTACCAGGTTATATAATACAACTTAACCTGGCCTAATGCCTGATGTTTTCATTAAGACATCTTCAGCTAAGTGCATGCTGATAAACAGAACTGCCTGTGTTAATATATCATCTCAGATATTTTGGTTAAGATTTGTTCACACAAACCAAGAAGACACTCTGTAAAGATGATCAGAGATGCAGAGATGCTCTGTGTATGGCTCTAAGTGCCCCCCTCTCTCTTTTGGCTGAAGTGAAGTGCGCACACAGTTTGGCGTGAGGCCAGGCAGCAGCGAGGCACCATAACATGCAGCAAGAGGGACATGTAAGGAAAGGACATTATGGTGGATTATAAACAGTGTGTGTGTGTGTGTGTGTGTGTGTGTGTGTGTGTGTGTGTGTGTGTGTGTGTGTGTGTGTGTGTGTGTGTGTGTGTGTGTGTGTGTGTGTGTGTGTGTGTGTGTTTCCTTTATTTGGCTGCTGGTGTGGAGTGATAACTAACACTGCTGAACATTTTAAGACTGTATTTCATTTTCTGTTTTGAAGTGTTTAGGGCTAATTTGCAAATATAAGCATGACAAACCTGTTATACTAAGATAGATGGTAAACATTACCATGATCAACATCCTGCTCAACATTCACTTGTTTGCAGTGCTCTGCGATGTCGGTACTTGTTTTTCTACAATACCCACAATTCTATAGGTTTTTTGGCAAGAACGCAGTAAACTCAATATTAACTTGTTTCCCTGTTAATGCCTCTTTGTAAAAAACAAATCTGTGTTTAAATTGGCACGAGTACAGTTAGTTAGTTATTATTAACTTTCAGCTGTTTTAGTATTGGCTACTGGGTAAGGTACATTCTAGCCTAATGGGTCTACATTATAAACTGTCCTGAAAGGTATAAATGTATTTCTATATGTTCTATGGTATGTCTTGGTATACATGATTGCACATGAAAGGCACATATTTCAAACTCTCTTGACCCTCCCTATATACATAAAGGTTCAAACAAATGTAAGTTACTATAAATGAGCCATTGGTGTTTGGCCTTGACTGCTTCAGCCACCTGATCATCACATTACAGTCTTACATTTCCTCATGTGCCATTTGGCTATAATTGAATCTGTGTAAGAGGTCCTTTTTAATTTTAGATTTGCCTCAAGCTCATAGCGATAGACTTAGCTGTTGAACTTAGTTGTCATGTATTCAGGGTAAACATGTTCTGCTTTAATTTATAGTATTAATTTAAAGGAAAAGAAAATTACACTTTTTGGCACTCACAACATTTAAGATCAAGAGTATCAACACAAGTTTAGCCATGCATTAGACCACATAACATTTAGCGTAGCATTTAAACGCGTAGCATGAAAACGACAACAGTTACTATGCACAATGAAGAAAACGACTAAGAGATGTATAGAAATGTGACATTTTGTTCTTGCATTTTGTCAGACTATGTGTCACTGTGAGCTCCTGTGCTATTGATTGATGGACTGTGTTATGAGTGAACAGTCAGTTATCATCCAATCATCATCCTAATTAGCTATTCTGCGTTTAGTAAAACAAATATTATAATGAGAGCTGTTAACTGCAGGATGTTGAGATTATCCTGAGTTACCTGGGATATTGTTCACAATGTTGTGAGCACCACAAATACTTTTCCACTGGCAGAAAAATATCACAGCCAGATAATTCAGAGACAACCAAAATGGCATGGATAGATAACCTAAGGGCTGAGTGCTAAATGTCTTTATCTCTTCCATAATATAGAGGATTTAGTCAACTGACCCTTTTTACACTTGTATTCACTCTCATAATGTCCAGAGCAGTGACAAAAGTGGTTACTGATTGCATAATTAGCTGCTTCCAAATGCTAATTTAAATTAATGCAGCTTTGATGTATGCTAAAGTGACACTGCAGATGGGGAGAGGAAGGCACAAAACACAGGACTGGACAGATTTCAGATAATGTTCGACTGAATACATTTCTGTCTCATTCAGTTGTTTCTGTCGTTGTGCAGTGAGCTCAGGTCTAACAAAACCCTTTACTGACGTTTTTTCCAGTAGGAGTTTCTCTCCCACACACCTCCTTTGTTTACTTCTGTAACAAAAGGATATCACTATGTTACACTCGCACTTCTATTGGCTAGTGCACATTGTTTGTGATACGCTAAGAGGCGGGACATCTCTAAGTAGTTGACCAATCACAACAGAGAGAACATAATTCAGTTTCACAAAGTGTATGGAAACAATGAAAACTGAAGACTTGAAATAGAAACAATAAAATAGACAGCGTAACAGAAGAAGCTTTTGCTTTGTGTGTTTTTATGTGCACAACCCAACATCTTTCTGCTTCACAGCATCTATTGTTCTAAAATGTTCTTTGGTGAGACTTGAATTGATTATCTAATTATGTGGAAGGCAAAAGAGCAGTTTGTGTGTGTGACTGTGTCTGAACTCTCACAGACAATACCGATTGCTCCCAGCAGATTTACTTTATTCCAAATTAAAGTGCCTCAAAGAACCTAATGAAAGAAATCTGTCATTTAAAATAACAACTATTAATTATATGTTACTGCATCCCCCTCCAGTCTGGTGAGCATGCAAATTATAATTGGACGTACGGTAATTAGCTTTTATGGTGTCAGTGGCAGAAGTTTCAAACTCTGGAGGCTGCAGAGATTACTACAGACAAGCATTTTTATCGTATCTATTTTTCTTAAACTATAAATAATTTAATTAATTATAAAACAACCAAAACTGCCAGTAATGTATACCACATAGTCATTAAAGGCTGCTGGATTGTTAACAATTAACATGAACAATTGCATTCCAGTATACACATTTTGAGTGGATGTTTGATTAGTCTCAATAATCTCTTACTGTATCTCTCACTGTGCCTTTTTATATTAGTAAGAGAAAATGTCCATATAATGCAGGTCTTTACTTAGCTGAATAAAATAGATACCCAGCATAATTTTTGTTTAAGAAAAACCTTTGTGTCTTATTCCTGATTTTAAGTCATCAAAAACTTGTATTAATAAAATAGAAATGTAACAACTATGAAGCCCCACTTCTGATCATATGTGTAGATCCGATATTAAAACCTGTTGGACTTTCCTCTAGCTTCTTTCACACATAACCTGTTGATCGTTTATCCAGCTAAGTGATGGCTATGAAATTGCATGATAGATAACCTAAGGGCTGAGTGCTAAACCAGCTTGTTTTTTCCTTCATATTCAACCTCGCTTTTTTTTTTATCCTAACAGCTTCTTATTGTGTTTTCAGTTGATAGGTGCCTTCCTCCTGGCCGTTGGCATCTACGCTGAGGTGGAGAGACAACGCTTCAAGACTCTGGATGGAGTGTTTTTGGCCCCGTCGATAATCCTGATCCTTCTGGGAATCATCATGTTTATTGTTTCACTCATTGGAGTCCTGGGTTCACTGAGGGATAATATAACGCTTCTGAAAGTGGTGAGTGGTGTGCCAAGTGATTTATCTTTTTGAAGGAAAGTGGCTACTACGATGCTTTTGTATCTTGTATTTATTTTTCTTTTAAGAATGATACACTAGAACAATCCATGCTTTCACTTCTTAGTTACAAAGTAGAATTAGTTTTGTTGTGGGATGGGGAAAGCAGATACTATGCAGATAAAGAACATATTCCTAAAGATGCAAACACAAATATATTAGAGGGTTAATTTCCTGTTGTCTTGTGTGCTATGAGCAATACCTGGCAGAAAAGGACAAATTTGACCTGCAACAAATTGATAATGAAACACAGTACCTCAGAGATTGAAGATAGAGGGTGAGAAAGTCACCTGTCGGGTCGTGACATGTTTCACCTGCAGATCGTGTCAGTGAGTGACAACGCTGCAGCCCCCCGAGGTCGGCCTGGTTTTCTCGGTGATGTCGGTTGAACATGTCGAAGCATGTTTCCTGCAATGTTAGTGAAGTTGTGTGTTAGTCTGCCATGGTCCTGTAGTTTCACATGAAGTTTTTACTAGCTGAAATATTGCATAGAAGGGACATTCATCCTTGTTTATGTGATGGTTTTAAATTGTGTAAGTACACAGGTAAAGTATGCAAGCCATCATATGAATTTGGGTTTACAGTGTGTGCAGGTATATTATAGTTTTTGCCATCAGGAGTCATTTGAAGTTGAACACATGGTGATGGTCCCATGCCATCACTTCGGGCATGGGACCATATGCTTTCCTTTTTACGCTTAAACTTTTAGGGATTTAAATACATTGGGGGGAAGAAATTAAGAATTCAAACAAGTTTTTGCTGTAGAAAACAGGCGGTCTCTCATGACCGCAAAACAAAGCACATCACAGGTTGAGGGTTGTTTATTTATAAAAATAGAAATCAGACTTTGGTGCCCACCTTCGAAGTAATATTTGTAACTCTATGAGGAGACATGGTACCTCAACGGATGTATAGCTTTGAGGCTATGGTAAACAAAAAACATGATTTAATTGTCTTTAAATGTATTTATAACTTAACTCAAAGAATATACAGAGGCTTTCAAAAGTATTAAATCCCCTTGAAAGTTATCAGATCTGTCTGGAAAACAAATCAATTCAAACACGTTTTTCCAGTCAATATGTTTATAGCAAACTCTGAGACTTTATCTTAAAGGCCAAAATTAATTAGGTCAGCAGATCTTTTAAAGAAAATAAAAGTATTCAATCCCTACACATTAGGCCACCTTGCAGCCTAAAGTATTTTGGGCTAAGTATCTAGCAGCTCGGCACACTGTTTAAAGAGATTTCCGACCATTCCTCTCTGCAGATTGGCTTAAAGTTTGTAAAGCTGGTTGGAAGACGCTTCTGGACCACAACACGTTATATTATGAATAGAAATATTACATTTGAAGTGTATAAGTTAAAGGTGTATAATGGCTCTTCCTCTTCTGTTTGCTCACAGTTCATGTACACCCTCTCTGTGTGTCTGATCCTGGAGCTGTTCGGAGGAATAATGGCGCTGGTGTTTCGGAACCAGGTGAGCGTCCACGATGTTGATCAAGTCAAAGTCAATTTTAATGTCAATCTTTCAGTTTGTGTGTACAGACGGAGAGATCGGAATTACGTTTCCAACATTCCCGAATACAAAAATACAATATACAGATATGTATACAAATATGTGCAAAATATGTATATCCTATATACACATAAACAGACACATTTACACACATGCACACATTAAGATAAAAAAACACAAAAATCAATATATACAAATTAACAGTCCCTTCAATATCAACATCTTTGGTGCAAGATTGACCATAGAATGTGCATTTATTGCAAGATTGTCTATAGCAGCGTTAACAAATAAATAAGAATAACCCGAGAGTTAGAAACATACAGCAGGTAGACACTTTTACGTTGTATCTCCTGTGTGGGCAGGAGATAATTGACCTTCCATGGCAGCTGTGCAATATAACAAGATCACTTGAAAGTCCATCTTGTCGTAATAATGCAAGGGCTTTCATCAGTGGGCGTGAAGCTCAACGTTCTTGCACTGTTGTCTCATTCAGAGATAGATGGAGACTAAGAAGATATTTATTTATATGGAAATCTTTTAGATTACTTTAACTACACAGGGTGGTACAAAATAATGAACCGCGACCAATCTGATGTAGTCTAATAGAATATATTAAAGTACATTTATATAATTATGATAATCATTCTTCAAACACCTTATCGCATATTTTAGATCAAAGATAAAGCCATGCAAGTTAGTAATTAGATTTCATCCCACTTTTTCTACTTTAATGGATATTTCAGTGACACAGCATTAAACAGGATTATTTCCACATAATTCTGGTAATTTCTCGGAAATGTACAGGGACAGTATCATCATAATGGATCCCTTTTTTAAAGATGATATCATTATCATTAAAATGGCATCATTATGCTGATGAATTGTTTTGCTTCCCTGACCTGTCCGTGTGTTTCTTTTGTATTCACCTCTGTCTTTCTCACATCTAAAATGTCTCTCACATCCTTTCTTTGTCTTACTCTCTATTTTTGTCTTCAGTTTTGGATCTCATTTCCTTCCTTCAGCAATAACATCCATTAATGTTTCTGTGCATACTAACACAGCCGGATATGTTGTATTTATGCAGCGGTGACTAGTCAAGCAGCATTCTTGAGTTGCATTCACGCTTCGGGGGGGGTAAAGAAGACATGAAGTGACCAGAAACCATAAATAATTATCTGACGTGTTAAAACTGGAAGTTATCAATTGATTTGGAATTACTTTTTTATATAAAACAAACAATTCATCACAGTTTATCAGGGTTAGTGACGGTCCTGAACAATACAAAACATTTTTCCAAGTCTTTCTGGTAAAGGATCGTTTTTAGATTTTTTAAATAAGAAGGCAAGCCACTGTATCCTTCATCGTTTTGTTTCCTGCTAAACTTTTATATTAGATATGTACCTGGCATAAGCACAAGTATCAGTATTTCCCCTACCATTGTCTTGGAGGGGCGCTGCGCCCCACTAACAGAGCCCCGCACCCCCCCTGAAATTCAAGGTGTTTAAACATTTTTTTAATTATAAATTATAATTTTTTTTTTATATATATATTTTTATATACAGTATATACATATAGCACCAAATTGCAACTAATTTATATCTACTGTCACTTTTCACATTGAAAATGTGCTCTTTTATTAAATAAACTAAACGTTTTCATTTTAAGTTGAGAGTTTAGTGTTTTTGACCCTAAGAAACACTGATGCATTAATCAATAACAATAATCCACAGCTCCTCTCTTCTGCTCCAGAGGATTTAAAAAATATATATCCCGATGCCACAAAAATGCATCAGTGACGTGGTTGAAATCTTGTCTCCAGAAAACAAAAAACTGAAACAAGCAGTATCAGTGACTGTGTGTTTGATGTGGCTCTTTGCAGTAACATAGAAAAAATGTGGCTCTTAACCTCTGACTGGTTGGCCACCCATGCTTTAGGCTATATACTATGTGGTGTTTCAATAAATACATATTTTAACGCCCAACAAAAAAATCAAAAGGTCAAATATTACTTCTACTGACCACAAACTCTCTCATTGAGGTACACACACAACCCCTTGAGAAGACAATCNGGAAACACTGAGTATGTTGTGTGATTAAGAACAACTCGGTGTGAACCTAATCGTTGTTTCCATTATGACATTTTATGAAAGTCATTTGTAGAAGTGAACATAAAAATCTAGATCCAATTTTGGCACATTTACACGAATATCACGTTAGAACTGACAAATAGGTTCTCGGATTTAAATGTTTTAATTAATAACATCAGTTTTCTTGATAAAAAGATCTGTCATAATGTGGCAACTTAATGTGGCCCAGTGGGGGGAAAAGGGTTGAGTTTCAGTGTCTCATTTCTCCACTTTGTAATGCTTTCAATCGTCTCCCTCAATTGAATAATGGCCATCTTGGAACACATCTTTGCAATAATATCGTGTGGTGCATTTTAATGTTTATGCCACGTTGAAAACCAAATGATCAGCATAATGATTTTTACATTTCAGAACTAATGGCAGTTCTATTTAAGATCCCATCAAACCCAGCTTCTAATATGTCAAATCTTAACTTCATTGCCTCATTTGAAAAGATATGGCTCTGCATTCAAATAAGATTTCACTTTCTTTCCCCTCAATTCCATGAACACTGTGTTTGACATCATAATGCCATGTGAGCTCATAGCGAGTTCTTTAATAATGATAAAGTGTCTCAAAGGGAAACGATTCAGTGGACTAAGTCGGAGTCTAGATATCTGCTTATTGTAATGTGGTTTAAATATGGCGACGTTGCACATGATACAGTAGATTCACTGTGAATATCTGATATGTTCAGGGGAGAAGAAAGAGAAATGTAATCAAAGACGAAATGCCTTTACGCTCTGCAACTCTCAGGAGGGGAGCAGTCTCAAGTTTGTTGGTAGTTTAAAGAGATATATGACGGAGAATATGCAGGCCTGAATGGCTCAATGCTTTTTCTATCCTCGTCTCTAATGAAGTATAAATAACACTGATGTATCCATAACAAAGACTGAAGTGAAATAAGTGGAATAGTTCCCTAAATTAAAAGCTCTCCATGACTGTACCTAATGGACTTTAAAGTTGCAAATATTTATTCTCAGTCTCTGGATAGACCGATGCGATGCATTAACCTAACGTGACCCCGCCGCACCAGATTGTGACTGACAGATGTGAGCTGTCAAACTGTCATCGTTTAATATTCCAGTTCAGTGGATCAGTCACCTTGAGAAATCTGAGCATTTCCTCTGGAGAGCTGCCTGTGTGACACTCTGATTGTAAATCAGTTATGTTGTGGATCAAAACACATGTTAACAAACACCTCCTTCATCCAATTGAGTCACAATCTGTTTATCTTTTGTTGGTTTTTCTCCCTCTTACAGACGGTGGGGCTACTGAACAAAAACATCCGAAAAGGCATCGTTAATTACTATGACGACCTTGACTTCAAAAACATCATGGACTTTGTGCAGAGGAAGGTAAGGTTGTCATGTAGTGTCTTTTTATAATGATGTCATAATGCAATGCATGACTCACAATATGAATGCATTACACGGCAAGTCAGGACTTGAAATGAAATGATCGCAGCTAGTTGTTTTCAATATAATCAGATAACTGTGCGGAGCCATCCAACTGCACCTGCCTCACACAGCCTGAAACCAGAAGTTCTCATCACCAACTTTTTATTAAGCACAATGGGTTGCAGTGTTTGGGGTCAGCAGACATTTCCCACTTGGAAAGTAAGATGCAGCCTGCGGCAAACTCCACTGATATTAGGAAGAAGAGAAAAGACAAACGATGTCTCAGTCTGCAGGCTAAATGCCACATGCTATTAAGGAATGTGCAAAATGACCAGCACCAGTTCCAGCGGAGCAGGATTGTTTCCTGATTGAATGATATTTAGGCCGCTTGAAGGCCAGAACGTATTGGCTGTTGTTGTGTGGAAGGTAATTTGGTGCTTTAGCGAGCACCTGCCTCAGTTTGAATTACTTTACAATGAAACTGGTCACCTTTAAAATATAAGATTGGATTGTGAAGGTCTAAACTTCCACATATTTTCAGTAGGCATGTCACAGTACAAAGAAGTCACAGTTTGATTCATATTCTGGTTTAAACTCTCATTTCATCTTTCTTTTAATTTATTCTGAACAGACAGTTGTGGCAAAGTGTCCTTCTCCTTCCTCTTGCTCATTATCAAAGGAATGAAAGTAACATTTTCAATACTTCTGTATTACAATCTACAAACGATAAACACACACTTTCTCAAAAAGGCACCGCTCACAGTAGGCTATGGACTGAAAAGCATTCCTTACAATATGAAATTAAACATGGAAACAAATATATACCATTGTAAATTATACAATCGATGCATTAGTTGAGTTTGAATTAGTTCCATCTTAATGTGATGGCAGTGGTGTAGTTGGCATTTTTCTAAATCATCAGTCAAATCTGACCAAAGTCCTGCAGAGTTTTTTAGCGTTGAACTCTTACAGAAAGATAAGACAAGAAAGACAATATGAAAACAGTGTGACAATGTGAAAAGGGTCGCTAATATAGGTGAACCTACAGAGCATTGGGTCTCTCAAACGTCTGTCATAGCATTACCAGACGCACCAGGTGTATGTTTCCAGGGGAAAAGCTTCCACTGCACACTGCCTGCTCAGCACTACACAGCAGACTTTCACAGTTTGAGACTAACTGATGAACATAGTTGCCAAAGAGTCATATATTTCCCTCAGGAGATGATGGAGACCAAATCCAGAGCTAAAAGGGAGTGATTATTGAACACACATTTACCAGGCTGGGATAAACACAACTCAAATGAATTTGTTGATGAAAGGACTCTCTGCCATCTGCATCAAAAGTTTCACAAATGCAGGAAATAGTAGTATGCCATATTGTTTTGGTATGTCATCCAGTCGACAATTTCATCAGCGTGTGCTTTGGAGTGTGCTACCTCCAAAGCAATTCCACTTCATTATCCCTTCAAACACAAGAAGGCCAGCTTGCTTTGGTAGCAGATTTTTTTTAATGTTTGTTCTGTAATGGGATTTCTTAACTCACTGGCACTCTGATCTGCTCCTTTATTACGACAAACAGCCTCAGTGATGGTGGAAAGCCATTTTGCAGCAGCGGTTATATCTCACAGTATATTTTTTCTGTGACTGTATCAAGCTGCTGCTCGTGTCCTGCTGTATAAGAGATTTAAGGGTTTTCTAGAGGACTGAAAGAAAACTTTAGTGGGAATTGAGACTGATTCCACTCTTAAATGGACTTTGCCGATTGATCTGGGAACATATTAGCACTCAGGATATAAGAATGAACCAATGTTTGTTTACTCAGGTTTTGCAGGAAGGCTAAACGTGAAGTTTTGCTACCGAAGTAGTTTCATCAGACAAGCTAACGTGCGTCAGTTACGTAAACAAAGCGGCACCTCAGTGGCTTAAAGCTTTGGCTTAGTCTTTACAATCTGTATTTGTGAGGACAATATCTGAATGAGGCAGTGTGTTTTGTTAAGTAAATGAGTCAAAGGTGACACATGTTTTCTTGGTTGTAAACAATGGAAATAAATCTCTGCGTGGGTTGGTGACTGGACATTATGGAAAATGTGCAGTTCTTACAGTGTTTTGTTCCATGTTCTTTTAAGTGTGACTTGGTATCATATAGAATTATTTAATTATCTTGAATGTTGTTTAAATGTTTGTTGTTATACTGAATCTGAATATGCTATTGGGAAAAAGAAAAACTGAAACAAAAAAATAAAGCTTAGACTTGGAGCCTGTAGTTCTTATCTTCTAAGAAAACCGGTTGAACTATAGCAAATCAGAGCAGGTACAAACACCTTTTTAGAAGTGTTCACACTTTTTGATTATTCCTCACACTAAAATGCAGCCCTAACCAACTCTGATTCTCAGTTGCCAAAGCCCACCTGTTAGCTTTTTGATTAAAACCTATCATGCTATTTAGGTTTTTTGTCGACTGGATCATGCTATTTTTAGGCAATAGCATAGGTCTCAGATATATAAAGATATATTAAAAATGTCTATGAAGTGTTTTGCTAAAAATACCAAACAGATCACCCATTCTAGCCATGCCTCATACTGTATCCCTCTATTTCACTCCCTGTTTCAAAAGTGCTAATTTGGGGTATAAAGCTTTAAAAAAAAAAAAAAGATTATAAAAAAAAGGGGGGGCTGAGCTCATGCAGGACCCGGAAGCTACTGTCTAAACTAAATACTGCCTTGATGAAACTCTATATCATGGATTATCAAGGATTATTTCTGAAACAGTATGGAGCTCA